TCTCTCCGGGCCCGCCTCGATCGGAGCCGGGCGCCTGCCCCCGAGGACGGCGGCGGGGTGTGGCAGGAGTGCGTTGCGGTGGGCCTCACCGAGGACAAGAGGTTCCAGGCCGGCGTTGGGCCGGGAAGCCGTGGCCGGGCGCGAAATCATCCGGAGGTGGATCGACCTCCCACCCTGACGCCTCGATTCAGGCATTGGCCGTGTTCGGTTCGCGAGAGGGCGTCGCGGCCGTCAGTTTTCACCAAGGCCGCTTTCACCAAGGGGAGGTTTACTAAAGGGAGGTCTGCCCACGGCCGATAATTGTGTGTGTGTGTGTGTGTGTGTGTGTGTGTGTGTGTGTGTGTGTGTGTGTGTGTGTGGTGTGTGTGTGTGAGCGTGTGCGTGCGGGGGGGATAAATTGGGGGGGCCGCTGAAAAGGGGCCCTCCTTCCGGGCCCCCAGAGGTGCCCTGCAAGGCCCCAGAAGGGGCCCCTTGGGGCCCGAAAAGCGGCTCCTCTCTTCCCCCCCTTTTTCGTCGCCCTGCATGACTTCGCGCCCAGTGCGGCCGATGTCTCCGCCATCGGGGGCGCGATGTGGTCGGCGCTGCAGGGGGACTCTGCGCGCGAGGGCGGCCCGACGCGGGGCCTCTCCCAGCCCCCCCCGCGTCCGCCGCCGCCCCCGCCTCCCCGAAGGCTGCCGGCGATCCCCCGCGCCTCCGAGGCCGTGGTGCCCTCGTGGCGTGGGCCCCCCGGGGCTTGGACCTATTGGGACTCCTTTGCCCGGGGCCTCCTCCTCCTCCTCCTCCTCCTCCTCCTCCTCCTCCTCCTCCTGCTCCTCCTCCAACTCCTCCTCCTCCCCCTCCTCCTCCTCCTCCTCCCCCTCCTCCTCCTCCTCCTTCTCCTCCTCCTCCACCTCCTTCTCCTCCTCCTCCTCCTCCTCCTCCTCCTCCTCGTCCTCGAAGAGCCCGAAGAGCCCGAAGAGCCCGAAGAGCCCGAAGAGCCCGAGCAGGGCCGCCGTCGGCCCAGGGCCAGGAGAGGACCTGCCGCCGCCAGCTGTCACACGCCCGGAAGGTGGCCTCAGATCCGGCGATGTGAGTTCTTGATCCTCGGGAGCCCTGGGGCGGGGGTCGTCGGTGCAAACGGGGGTCAGCCAGAGCGGCGGATCTTGCAGGATCCTGCAGGGCCAGGGTCGCATCGACCCGGGCCTGGGTGCAGGATCCTGCAGGATCGTTCGCATTGACCCGGGTTTGGGTGCAGAATCTTGCAGGATTCTGCGATGCCTGACTGACCCGGGTATGGATTGAGCCGGGTCAGGAGATCCCCGATCCGCGGCTCCAGAGTTCCCCACCGCTTCCCCGGGGGCAGCTCTCCATCCTCGATGCTTGCGGGATGGCCCCAGGACCCGAAACGGGCCCGACGAGTTGATTTTGGTCGACTGACGCCAGGGCTGAACAGATGAATCCTTCCAGAACTCAGCCACGCGCAGAGGGGGGTGGGGGGGAGGGGAGAGGGCTTCTTAGAAGCACCCCTGCTTCTCAGAAGGCGCGGGCCTTATCTATAGGTGTGCGGCCGGCGCCTTCTAAGAAGCAGCCTCCTTCTAAGGAGCCCCCCCCTCCACCCCCTTGTGCGCGCCGCCAAAGAGCGCCGCCAAAGACTGAAGGGAACAGGGTGGCATCGAGCGCTCGTGCTCGCGCGCCCGCGCGCAGGTGCAGTGGGTCGAGCCAGCCGGGGACCAGGTGGCCCGGGACCGGGACAGGGCGCCGGCGGTGCTCACCCGGCTGCAGTGCCTGTTCCTGGGCGAGGACCGCGGCAGAGAGGGCGGATGGCAAGGGGGAGGGCAGGAGAGCGAGAGAAGCGGAGGAGGAGGAGGAGGAGGAGGAGGGGGAGGAGGAGGAGGAGGAGGAGGAGGAGGAGGAGGAGGAGGAGGAGGAGGAGGAGGAGGAGGAGGGGAGGAGGAGGAGGAGGAGGGGGAGGAGGAGGAGAAGGAGGAGGAGGAGGAGAGGGGAGGAGGAGGAGGAGGAGGAGGAGGAGGGGGAGGAGGAGGAGTTGGAGGAGGAGCAGGAGGAGGAGGAGGAGGAGGAGGAGGAGGAGGAGGACAACGAGAAAGAGAGCGAGGCCTCGTCCTGGAGGGCGGGAGGAAGCAGCAGCAGGAGGACGATGAGGAGGCGGGCGGGGAAGAAAAAGTGGAAGACGGACCGCTCGGCGGCCGAGGACCCGGAGCTCTTCGCGGACCGCGTCAAGTTCGCGTTCGAGTCCCTCAGGCCTGGGCCGATCGAGCGGAGGGTGATCTCCCAGAGCATCGAACCCACATCAGAAAGAACCGAACCGGAAGTGGTTCAACCTTCCTCCAATAGTGAAAGAGAGAAGCCAAGGAAAAGATAGATGCTCCAGTAACTCTTGGGCCCCCCAATAAATTGATGATAAGTTCAAGATTCAAGAAACATCAAGATTTATGTATGTATATATATCTCAAGATAAATCAAGAGGATGATTTTCCCCGCGTGAAGCACCGAACACAGCACCGGCACCCCAGACCTCGGCAGTCCTGCGCCGACGTGGCCACGCAGAGATCCGCCACGACTGCCGGTGGGATGGATACACGGTGGGGGCGTTGGGTGATCTGCACGCACGAAATGGGTACTGAAAGAATGGGTACAATGCCCAACAGCGGATCTTGTTCAGGAGGCGGCAGACCCGGAAGGATTCCTTGCCTGACGAGGGCGGCGGTGATATCCATGGCCGATCCACGGTCAGAGCTCAACCGGCTTCCAGACTTCTGGGTTCCTCATCGAATGGTTCCCTATCCAATGCCCTCGCCCTACCTCCTCCGCTCCGTGGAGGTTGATCGGCGGCGCCCTCGGGGGGGAAGTCAGAGGGAGAAGGCCTTCTCAGAAGGCGGAAGCCCTCGCGCCTTCTGGAGGCTGTCGGCGGCGTTCGGGGAAGGCTCGAGGCCTTCCGAGCCCTCTGCGAAGGCCCGCCCCGTCTCACTTTCCCCCTGGGCGCGCCGCCGAGTTGAGGGATGGAGGGTCGAGGCTCGAGGTTTGGGGATCGAGGGATCGAGGGCTGAGGCCTCGGGAAGCCAAAGAGTTACCTGCAACTGTATAGGGCCTCCGCCCCCTCGGAAGCCTTCCGGGGGACCACGCGGCACGGAGACCCCCTTGGGGATCCGTGGGGGCCCCCAGAGCCGCGAGACCCTTGGATGCCGGGGAGGAGGAGGAGGAGGAGGAGGAGGAGGAGGAGGAGGAGGAGGAGGGGGAGGAGGAGGAGGGGAGGGGGAGGGAGGAGGAGGAGGAGCCGCTGCCGAACCAAACGCACACCTCCGAGCGATGCCGAGCCCATCGCCGCCTCCAGCCCCCTGCGCCCCGCCCGCCTCCTGCAGGCGGAGGCCCGCCGCCCGGGCGGCCGGGGGCCTCTCCTCTGCCGCGGCCGGTTCCAATTGCGAGGGGGTTGGGCGAGGAGGGCAGACCAGACCCTTGGCGAGGGCAGGGGGGCTTCTTAGAAGCCCTCCAGCGCTGCGGGGAGCTTCTTCAAAAGCCCCTGAGCCCTCCTGAGAGGCCCCCAGGCCTCTCAGAAGGCCACCCCCCCATCGCCCCCGCCCCCCCCCCCCCCCTCTCTTGCGTGGCCGCCAGAGATGAGCGCAGCCCAGGGGCATCCAGCCCCGGCAATCGAGGCTCGAAGACGCAGGATCAGAGTATTCAGGAGGGAAAAAACACACAGACACAAGTAATCGTCGATTCCCTGGAACATATGCGAAGATATGGGAAGTGGGTGGAAAACAAAAACCTTGAAAATATGGGGAAATATGGGGGTCCTTTTGTTTGTGTCTATTTATTTGTGTGTCCTAGGACCCCTTCAAGTATATGGGTGCTCTGGGGCCTCCTTGTTGGCCCGCGGAGGCCTCCGGAGGCCTCAACGGGTCTCACGAGATCTTCCGAGGGGGGCCTCCGGGCACATGCGGAGGGGTCGGGGCAGACGCAGCCAGGGCCCTCGTGGAGCGATGCGGCTTAAGAAATCCCGCTCAGAGATGGGAGTCGATGACAATGAGGTGTTCACGGCGTCGCGGTGTGTTCGTGACTGCGATTCTGCGAGCTCTCTGCTTTTGATTCGCGATGTGGTTGAGTCCCCCGTGGTGCTTCGCGGAGTCCCTTCGGCTTGCGCCCTCTTCTAGCATGAATGCAATGCACGAGTTCTCCTGTTCGCCTCCTCCTCCCCGTCCACCCAGCTTACAAGGACGGGCCCCCCTGCCCCGTGCCTGCTCGCCAGGCGTGCTCAGTCCCGTGCGCGGCTCAACTTCTTCATCGACAACATGCCCATCGACGACATCCAATGCCTGGACGTCGATCAGGTTTCGAGAATCCTCGACTTGGCCAAGAACTCCACGCAACTGCGGGTTGCTGCCATCGAGCCGGCGGCCAACGACCTTGTCCGGGAGGCCAACCTTGATTTCGCCCGGACGATGAACAAAATCATCTTCTTGCACCAACCAGCAGTGTCGGGGGAGCAGGATCAGGACAGCGCTAAAGACGCCGTAATGCTGAACGGCCAGCAGCCTTCGAGTGCTGGGGGCGGCTGGAGCATGTTCAGCAACGTTTCGGTAGATGAGCTAGAGGACGAAGATGAGAACCCATTCGGCAAGCCCGTGCCCTGGTACGCGTTGTGGCCGGTGCCCGAGTACAATTTCACCCAGAAGTTCGCAGCTTTCTGTTTCGCATCTTTGTACATCAAGCCAGAGGTCGTTAGCACGCTGTGCGCCGTAGCCGAGGAATGTCTTGGGCTGTTAGCCCAGTGCGTCTATGCGACGAAGTTCCAGAAGGCGTTGAGGCTAGATCAGTTCAAGCAATTGGAGAAATCCACCATCACGCAGATGTCGAACAAGGTGAAGGAGTCGTGGGTCGTCAGTCTGCAGAAGATCATACTCAAAAACTTCGAGAACGTCGGGAAGGGATGGTTCTCCATTCACGAGAGCAACCCAGACACGTATCGCCAAGGCAAGATGAAGAAGATGCTCGCCGTCATCCGCTTCATGATGCAGGACACGATGCGGTACCAAGACCTCCAATGTCGTGACTTCTCGCATGCGGAGCCGGCAGAAGTCTGCGCCACTTCCCAGCTCCTCGCTCGCTTCTCGACGGCCCCGGGCCCGAAACAAGCCTCACGAGGCCGAGGGCGAGGGCAGAACGTCGGCATGGCAAGCGTCGGTCCGCAAGGGGGGCCCGCTCGGCCCCGACGCCCGGCGCCGAGCGGGTCTCTGGGCCGACCCACGACCAGCGAGGGCCTTGGCAGGGGCCCCGCCGCAAGGTCCGGCGCGGCGGCGAGCGAGGGGGATTCCAAGCGCCCGCTGGCTCGCCCCACATGAGGGCGCTGCAAGCAGGCCGCCTGGTCGGCCCCTCGGCCCCCCCCGTGCCTCAGACTTCGCCCTCTCCCGGCAGGTATTTCGCCCTCGACTCCATCGCCCAGTTCTGCGAGGGGATCGAGGCCTACTGCCCGGAGGCCGTGGAGGTGATAGGCCTGCACGGCGTCACCAGCACGTTCGGCCCGTCGCCTTCGGGCGGGGAGGCGGCCATGGCGGCCCCGAGGCTGCTCCACCAGGCAAGGGGGTGAAAGCTCGGACGAAGAGAACTACAGTCGGGGCGCTGAAGAAGGAACCCTTTTCGTTGGGGAGGGGCTCGGTGTTCCTTGATTGTTTCGAAGTTTGCCTCGGGTTTTCTTGAGGGTTTCCATGGGAAATCGAGGTTGAACTTGTGGGAAAAAGGGGCTTCGTTCCTCATTTAGGGTTCATGTCAACGCCTCGACTGTATGCACATGCACCGACCCTGGCCAGGCCCAGCCCGGGCCCAGGATCGGTGTCTGTGCCTCCCCGGCCACGCCACGACGGCGCAGGCACCGATCCTGGCCCGCGGACGAGCCTGGCGAGGATCGGTGCATGTGCATCGTGCTCTTCCTTCCATCCGCAGGGAAAGAAACACACAGACACAATGAATCGTCGATTTCCCAGAAAGTATGGGAAAATATGGGAAGGGGGGGGGGAAGACAAGAACCCAGAAAATATGGGAAAATATGGGGAATCCTGTTATTTGTGTGTATTTATTTGTGTGTCCCAGGGCCCCTTCATTCTAACAGCGCGATGGTAGTGCGTAGACCTAGCTCATCCTCAGCGGCGCGAAGGTGATCGCGCCTCGCGCATCGCGGCGCGGGCCCGAGAGCTGCCCTCCTCCAGGGTGGCCGCTCGAGGTCGCGCAGCTGACCGCACGTCGCGGGGGCGCGAGGCGCGCAGGTAGGTGATGCCCAAGATGCAGGCAGCGACTCGAGCACGTTTCGCGCCAGGAGTTTTCGCAGCTTTCGGCGTCCATGGGGCACCTGCGGGCCCCAGGAGGGTCAAACAAATGCGCACGATGGGTCTCGGAGGCCTCGAGGTTGACACCAACACCAGTATCGGCGGTGTGCCCCACCGAGGGCAGATGATCCCGATCTCGGTGATGGTGGTAATATTCGCGCTTACAGGGTGGCCGAAAGATTACCACCAACACCAAAATCTAGGATCACCTTCCCCTGGTGGAGGCAACCCTCGGTGTTGATGTTGGTGCCCATTTCTGAGCCTCCAAGGGTAGGAAGCCCGCAGTTCCTGGTGGGATCGAGCAGGCATCGTGCTTTGATCCCCCTCCCCCGGGGCAGCTCTTTCTGCGGGGTGCGGTTCGTGGACGGGCCCGGGCCCAGGAGCGGCCCGGAGCCCCGTGCCGTTTTTGCCCTCGACCCTCGAGGGTCTCCACGACGGCGGCGGCGGCGACGACGACGGCGACGGCGACGATGATTCCGGAGACCCCGACGACGACGACCACAGCGTGCCGACGACGCCGACGATGCCGACGACAACGACGACGACCCCGACCACGACGACGCAGGCGACGACAACGACGAGGGTGACCGATCGTTGCCGCGAGGGCGCCCCGGAGGCCAAAAAGGAGCGAAACACGTCGAACCATCGCCCCGCATCCTCGACCCCGTTCGCTCGACGACGACGACGACGACGACGACGACGACGACGCCCCTCGACCGCGAGGCGGCGGTGTCGGTGGGCGAGGTGCGGGGCGCCCAGCAGAGGTTGGGCGGCGGTGGCGCCGAGGGCGCGGAGGTCGGGCGGGAGCCGTGCGAGGGCCTGTTCAGCGTGGAGCTCCGCGCGTCCGAGGCCCTCGCGAGCCGGCCCTCGTGCCGTCGGGGTCTGCGCTTGGCATCGCTCGGACGTGTGCATTTTTCCTTCGGCGAGGACCATCGAGGAGCATCCTTGACCATTGGGCGAAAAAAACACGCACGAAACCCAAAAAAAAGAAACAGGGAATGGACGTCCGAGCGATGGCGAGTGCGAGGGGTGCCCCCTGGGCCCCATAGGGTGCCCCCTCACTGGTCGCTCCATTTTGGAGCCCCTGGAGCCCTCTGGGCCTCGCGAAGGGCCTGCAGGCCGCGAGGGCCTCCCTGGGAAATCCTGAGGGCCTCCTGGGCCAGGGGCAGGTCCAGCAGGACCCGGCTCTCGGGTGCTGTGGGGGGAGTGGGGGTGGGGGCACTCGAGGAGTCAGAGGAGGCGCCCCGGGCGGGCCGAAGGCAACGTGCCCGGGCCTCACACCCATATCCTCCAGGGATAGAGAAGTTGAGGTCTGCCAAGGTCTGTGGCCAGGGCAGATCCCATCCCCTGAGCGCCTTTGCCTTTGCCTTTTGCCTTTTGCCTTCTGTTGCTCGTCCTTTTCTCCTCCTCCTCGTCTGCTTCCTACCTCTCAGCGTCTTCCCCAACCCTCCCCCTCCTCTCTTCCCCCCGTTCCCCTCCTCCCTCGTCCCCCCGCTCCTTCTCCCTTCCTCCCTTCGCCCCGTCTTCCATCCTCCGCCTCCTTTTCCTCCCGCTTCCTCCTCCTCCTCCCCATCCGTCTCCTGCTCCTCTTTCTCCTCTGCCTCCCTCTCCTCCTCGGCGCAAGCGGTGCACTGCAGCATGTTTTCTCGGGAGGACCGGGGACCGACGACCCGTGCCCCCAACGCTTCGAGCGAGCACGGCAAGGCGCCGCCAGGATGACATCCGCGGAGCTGCCAGCAGGGCGGGCCTCCGAGGGCCCCAGGGAGGCCCCAGGAGCTCCCGCCAGCGATCCGTCGTCGATCCAGGAGGGGGGGGGGGGAGGCAGCGGGGCGGGGGGCAGAGGGAGAGCGGTGAGGGACCCAGGGAGGCCCCAGGAGCTCCCGCCAGCGACCCGTCGTCGATCCAGGAGGGGGGGGGGAGGCAGCGGGAGAGCGGGAGGCGGGAGGGAGGGCGGGGAGGGAGGGCGGGCACGCGTGAAGAAGGAGGAGGGGGGCCCCGCAGCGCTCCGTTCGAGGTGCTCGCCCAGCACGGGGGGGGGGGTCGGGGAGAGCGTCTGTCGTGCCACCCGGGCTGGCCTCCAGGACACCCCCGGCGGTGC